TGAGGTTCACAGACCAGTTCAGTTGGAGAGGATCACACAACATGGCAGTTGGTGAGGTTCACAGACCATGTCAGTTGGTGAGGTTCACAAACCATGTCAGTTGATGAGGTTCACAGACCAGTTCAGTTGGAGAGGTTCACACAACATGGCAGTTGGTGAGGTTCACAGACCATGTCAGTTTGTCTCCTCACGTGGACGCTCCTGTTTCTGTTTCACACCAGGGAGTGCAACCGTCGTCAGCAGGTGGTGGGCGTGCTGAACGAGTTCTACGTTGCCACCTACCTGCACCTCTATCAACTGTGGAAAACGCAAAACAAGACCATCGCTGACTCCGGCTTCGTACTCAAAGGTAAACCAAACCGGTGGACATTTTACAAAATCAAAATAAATTTCATTCTTCTGATATTCGAACCCAGTCCCGTCATGTAAAAAAACAGAAACTTTTTTGGAACCTCGGGATCATTTTCAGCTATATTTAAATTTACAGTTAAAGTCCGCGATAAAGATGGAACGTTGTCGCAACTGGAACGAATTGCATTTTATGCAGTAAAAAAAAAAATAAAAAAGATATATAAATATATTAGACAAAACGACACTAAAAACTAAAAATAATTACAAAATATTAAATTTTAAAGTGCATCGTCGCCACCTACTGGACGGCAGCGGGCGAATCAGCGTTAGCAGTTTGAGTTAGAAATGAAGGAAAATGAGAATTATATTTTTACATCTTATTTTTCTAAAATGGTTATTTAGTAGGCTCTAAGTCAGAGCCTTAAAATAAAGTAAACTAAACCTGGGGGGCGGGGGCCAGAGAACAACACGGTTCTGTTAGCCTTCCCTGTCTCACTCTTCTCACTTCCCTCTCTCCTCAGAGGTGGAGCTGTTTGCCAAAAAGAACCCCAAGCAGATGCTACGTCGACTCGAGGTCTTCCTGAAGGAGAGGCAGACGGTGGGACTCCCCCGCGGGGCGTCGTCATCAGATCCGTCGGTGCAGCAGCAGCCGTCTCCCAGCCCGGGGGAGCCGGGGAGCAGAGCCGGAGCGGCGCTGGGAAACAAGGGAAAGGAGATGCACTTCACCGGAGTGTGTGATCTACCGCCGGACGTGGAGGGAGAGGCCAGACTCATTTGAACTGGACTCCGTGAGTGTGTGCGCGTGTGGTTCACTTCCTGTACGTGTATTCGCCAGTGACTTACTCAGAGAGCTAGAAGAACCCTGACCCCGACCCTGACCCTGACCCAGGGCCTGCTGTCGGAACCTTTTTCAAACACTTCCACTCCCTTCCTTGCTGCTGGGGGGTTGCACTTTGATCAGATTAGCTACGAGGCGGAGTTTCTGATTATTTTCTTTTTGTATTTGTTTTGTTTTTAATTTATTTATTTTATTAACAAGAAGAAGAAAAAACAAACAAGTAGAATATATATAAATATATATTTAGAGAGAGAGAGCTCACGCAGGTCAGGAAGCATGCGTCGTGGAATCAAGCAAGACGATTTTTGCACTTTCTATGAAATACACAACGTTCCACTCAACGTGTCCAAAAAAAAAAAAAAAATTCCCCCCCCAAAAAAAGTCGGCTTATCTAACCATCAAAGTGGAGTCGTTAGAGCGCTTTCCCACCGGCACTAGCTATCAGTTGTTTTTTTTTTGTTTTTTTTTTTTTTGTTTTTTCCTACCCAAAATGCACTGCGCTCGATGTCACTTCCTGTCCTCGGTTCATTAATTCTTCCTGTTTCACGTCCCAACCCCTGGTTCTCTTTCTCTCTCTCTCTTTGGTTTCTTTTTCCGATCTCCTCTCCTCGCACCAGCAAGTGAACTTCATGTGGCCCAACATGTGGGCTGCAGTCCGTGCCAGAGTTTGGCTCGAATATTTGGGCTACGTGAATCGGACCGTCTGTAGAGAGTGGACCAGAAACGAGAGTCTAGTTTTAAGCTGAAAGCTCAAAGCCCGGCTTAAGCTGAGGTTAGGTAGTTACAGGATTTTACCCACAATTCCCTGTCGGGCACAGTCGGCGAGGTTAGTTGGGTGAGACAGGAAATGGTTTCTGAAGACAACAGGAAACAGCGAGGATGTCATTACGTAGATTGCGATACAGCTGGAGAGGTTGTCGGCCCAAAGGTTGGTCGGCAGCCCCGGAAATGTCCGGCAACCGGTAGTTTGAGGCGTTCGCTCGCCGTTAATGTTAGTTTGACAACTGGCGTTGTCGTCGTCGTCTGCGATCCCTCCTCCGACAACCAGTATGCGAAAAACTAAGGATTAGTTCAATTTTTTTTTTTTAATTTAATAAAAATCATGAGATTTCAGCGACGGAATAACGACAAACCCAGAGGAATTAAAGGTTTTCGGTACAAACACGAGGCCTTGAACGCAGCGCGCTTCGGTCGATGACATCACTCTGTCAGTGTGAATGAAAATACGATCACGTAAATGATGTCGGAGACACCCGGTTGGTCGGTCAGTCAGGTGGGATGGAGAGAGACACTACCTTATTTGGGCAATATATTTTAAACACATACATAAATATACATAAATATATAAATATATATTTAAAGAAAAGAGGCGTGTCCTTTCTGAAGACACGACCTCCGTGACCTTGTCTATAGATCTACGAGTGAAACTGGTGTCAGACTGACGGTGTGTGTGTGTGTGTGTGTGTGTGTCCTAGCTAACGTCAAAGTTCTGGTCTGGAGCTTTTCTCTACATTCCATTATGAAGCATGTGATTGTAAATTTTTCGCGACGACTTTCGAAGTTTATCCTCGTGCGAGTGTGTGCGTGCGTGTGTGTGTGTCAAATGGATGAGCTGATATCAACGAAGGCCGCCCCTCCTTGGCGACGTATGGTACGGCATGATGCAATCCCAGCTGTCAGTCAACGATGATCGGACCGGACTGCAGGGTTTGTGTGAATGTGTGTGCGTGCATGCATGTGTGTGTGTCGTACGACAGGAAATGACTACAGATATGGCGCTTTTCCACTTTACACAAAAAGCCCCGGCTTTATCAAGTGCTTCATCCACCGAGGCTGCGACGGGAAAATCGTCCGAAAAAAACTCATTCGGAGACGTTGGTGTTTCCCAACCTTTTTCCGAGCCTCGGCACATATATATATATATATATATATATATCGTGGAACGACACACAAAAATATATGTAAATAAATATAATAATATACGAATTTAAATTTATGTAATAAACGTACTCCTGTTTAGTTGAAGACGATGCTAATATACTGGCAGGAATTGAAGAAAGACACAACGATCTTCAACAGTTCTGATAATATTTTCCTAAGTTTTAACGACCATCTGCTGCCACCTAGTGGGAAATGATTGCATTGCTCTTTGATGAACAAACAAAAAAAAACGATTTCTAATAAATAAATACTAGTTTTGGGACATTGGCTAATTTTTCGCGGCACACCAAAAAATCTCCGTGGTTGGGAATCACTGACCTAGCCGATCGTAGAAGACTCCGGGGCCACAAAATGAAAGAAACTGCAGTTATCGTACGTTCAGCCTAGGCAGATGGGGGGTGGAGCTATAGAGGCGTCTAACATTATTTTTGTGAGAAAAAATTCATAGTCCAGCAGAAAAACGTTGCACGGTATTATACATACGCCAATTTGTTGACGTTGTGATGATTATTCAGTTCAATGATATTTACCGTTTATTTCCGGAACAAAATGCCGCCTTAAGACGTAAACAGAACGAACGCTAAAATGTCCAATAAAATTAGCTGCACTTTATCAAACGAGCCAAGTGGAACTAGGTTGATTTGCGAGCAAACCTTAGCATCCTTTAGCGCTCCTCCTGGTTGGCCGAGGGATGGTCAATCTGTTGAGTTTTTTCGCAGTACGACTTGCGTAAACTGTGGCCTGGAGTGGATGGCGCTACTGAGCAGAGCTGGTCCCGCTGCGTTGTGCTAACGTGAAACCGTCTCCCGTATCTGCAGTCGAAATCCGTAGCATGTTCAGGTAGCACTAGTACTGTAGCATCTTTTAGCCTTCTCTCCTCTCCGTGAAGCTCGTTCGAAGTCACGTTTCGGGCGCAATCTGAAGCGTCCAGCCGATGTCTCCCTGGGCTGCGACCACTGTCCACCGTGACCCGACATTTAACGATAATGTCGTACTAAATATATCCATATTTCAACTGCTGAAGTCCCGCGCTCCACCACCAGAGGCCAAATGAGGCCAAATTTACGATACACGTTGCGAACCTTGTTCCCAACATCTGTTTTGGACAGGAAATTTGTCGCACTAATTTCTAGCACGTGTTTTTAGAATTTCCCCTAAGTTAAGCTGTACGACTCACACGAGGTTACCGTGTGGTCTGTCTGTTCGTCGCAGCCCAGTGAGACGGAGGTCGACTGTCGCTACTCTACTGTGGGAGCGTGGACCTGAGGTGGCACAGTGGATGTTGGTACCTAGGGGGAGGGTCTTGACCTTACCTTCTTGGGGGTGTTCTTACACTTGACATGATCGTGTTCGGTTGAAAAAAAACCCCCTGCTGCAGCTTTCCTGTCGGTGCAGCTAGATAGGTTGCGCAAATGTCTTACAACCGTAAGGGTTGTGGGATCAATTCCAGACCGTACTTCGGTATACCTACTGGTATACCTTGCCGACATTCCAGTTGTTGTCTCTGTACTCTGTACTCTCTAGCTCTGTAAAGCTAAGCTAAACGTACGCAACAAACTACAAAAGGGATGACATCCCTAAATGACATGCAGAAAAATAATTAACAGTAATAATAACTAGCCCCGCCCCCAAAAATTCTCATCTGCGTTTTCCGAGCCATCAACAATATTCAATATATTTTTAAATATAAAAATATGTTAAAATAATATAAAAGACTTTTTTTTAATGGTTTTAATAGCTCTTGTTTTGAGAAATCGACCCTGACTGAGTTAATAATCTAAACATTTCTGCTTAAGAGTGTTTTGGAATGGAAAAAAAAATTCTATTTGTGACTGCATTAGTCTCTCTATGGAGGTGGCTGTGGCTCAGTGGGTAGTACGCTGTCTTACAGAGGGTTGTGGGATCAATTCCAGACCGTACTTCGGTATACCTACTGGTATACCTTGCCGACATTCCAGTTGTTGTCTCTGTACTCTGTACTCTCTAGCTCTGTAAAGCTAAGCTAAACGTACGCAACAAACTACAAAAGGGATGACATCCCTAAATGACATGCAGAAAAATAATTAACAGTAATAATAACTAGCCCCGCCCCCAAAAATTCTCATCTGCGTTTTCCGAGCCATCAACAATATTCAATATATTTTTAAATATAAAAATATGTTAAAATAATATAAAAGACTTTTTTTTAATGGTTTTAATTTAAATATTTATAAAAACTAAAATCCTAACGACCTGTGTTGATTGGTTAAAATGTGTAATTGTCTTCTGAAAAACACCCTCAGAATGTAATTGTACAAATGTTGCCCTCGTCAGTGGAGGCAGGTGGGGCCTCAAAGTTGCCTCTGAACCCCGTAATCCCCCCGCTCCTCCTCACCCCTTTTATTTAAGCCACTGTGGCCTCCTCGTCCACGTAACGCGGTAAACAGAGATGTTGTCAAATTTGCACTCTCACCTCCCCTCTGACTTTTGACCTTTGAATCCACAGTGTAACTTCAGAAAACGAGCTGATGTACTTTTTTTTTCTTTCTGTTTTTTCTTCGGTGATTTCGAGTGATCAGGAAACTTTTTTTTGTTTTTGCACTTCGTCATTTAACTTTGCTAAGACGTGTGACGTATGCTAGCGTACCTTCTTTCGATAGCCATAATGTTGACCCCCCCCCGCCCACCATGACTCCCGCTGCCAGCATCCGTCTGAGACACTGCACTGCAGATGTGATGTTGCGTTTTTTTTTTTTTTTTTTTTTTTTTTTTGTGCGGTGAAGTTTGTAAATAGAGAATCAATGATTGTAACTGTATGATTGTCTGTCGGGCATTATACTGAAACACAGTGCTTACCTCGAGACTTGAGACAAATCTCTCCCCCTTCTCTCTCTCTCTTTGCTCTTTTCTACGGACGTCCGATATTAGCTTTTTGCCGATATCGTCCAATTCCGATATCGACCCATACCGATATAGCTGGGCAGCGGCGGTGGCCTGGTGGTTAAGAAAGTGCTTGCTCACTAAGTCGATTATTATTATTTTCTGCCATGCTCCCCCTAGTGGACAGAAGCCCCCACACCACCACCCCCTGAAATTAAAAAATATATTGAGCGCCTGGTAATATTTATTTAATCATACGTAAACCACTGGCACCAGCTTTAATAAATTTAATACGATTAATAAATTGAGCTGCAATGCTGCCATCTAGTGACTGTTTACTTACATATACAGCCGTTTTTTTCCCCCCAAAATTAGGGGCACACATTATTTGGCGAAACCCCAGGGCATTGTGTTATCTGATTTCCATTATCGGAGGCAAAAACCGATAATGACTCTTACGGATGTCGCATAATTACGCTAATATCGGACATCCCTACTCTTCTCCTCCTCCTCCTTCATGCCGGTCGGACACGTGTATTGTACTGTACTGTATATTCGGCACCCGAGGCACTACACGATATCAAGCTAGCGGGGAAGCTGGTCAATGTTACATGTATTCTATTTAGGACACATTTATTGACTATATATATATGTATAGATATATATATATACATATATAGGCCCACACATGCTGTGATGCACATTTGCAGATGACACCAATCTCTTAATCGGTATTATCTCTCGAAATTGGCTGACGTTCCACGCCGTCGTTGATAACGAGCTGGTTTCTCTTGTGGCTTCAGTGATCGTAACTGTCCGTAAGTGTTTCGATGGTGAGGAAAATGCGGGAGGTGAAAACCCATCGTCACGGACGTATCTTTAAATATATAGGCTTGATTGTCTGTGTACGCTTCGACCTCGACGTATACCCGGTAACCACCACCGCCGCCGCCACAACAGCAACCTAGCAATCTTCAGCCGTCGCAGTCGATTATGTTCTCACGTTTTCTTCAATCACCTTGATCGCAAAAAAAACCAAACCAGAACTAAGAGTGAAATAAAACGGGTTCCTGCAGGATGCGGACGCTCCGAGAGTTTCCGTTTCCGAACTTCTGTCCCCCTCAGCAAATACAATCACTTCTCTCGATGTCCCGCGCTTTATATATGAAGTTGTTTTTGACCGTTGACCGTCTCGTCCCTCGGAGCGTTTTATGACCGTACCTTGATTGTAGAAGCCCTATTTTATACTTACGAGAGTTATTTCAGGATACACTACGTGCTGTTGTAAATTCAATGTGTTGTATGGAGAACGCTAAGTAAATGCTGTTTGAAAAAAAAAAACTGACGCGTCGGCCTCATTACTGAACCTAGTGGATTTGTGCGGTTTTGTCATTCTCAAAATACTAAAAAATGTACTCCTGTTTAGTCTAAGACGACGCTAATAATACTGGCAGGAATTGAAGAAAGATTTTAAAAACCATCTGCTGCCACCTAGTGGAAGAGGATTGAATTGCTCTGCCAGTCACACGATGAACGAGAAAAAAAAAAATTGCAATAAATAAATAATAGCTTTAGGACCAGTTAAGCTAATGTTAATAGCTAATGATCTCTCACGGCGCACTAGCAGGCCACGTTCCAGAGGTTGGGAATCACTGCTGTAATACGCAGTAGACACTAGGGGTGTGTCTTGGCGACAATCTGGTGATATGGTACGTATCACGACATGGGGAAGCAACAATATGATATATTGCGTTATATTGCAATACTATAGTCACGACGATATATTGATATCTCCTAGAAAAAGAAAATGAACCAACACCAGGAATATTGGACTGGGAATTGGGTAATAAAAAAATCGATAACTGACGACTGAGGAGATATCGCGATATTTCAGCGTACTTATATATTTCTACACTATTTCTACACCCCTACTCAATACACATTTTGGTATTTACACACTGCGAGTGCGCCAGAATTTGTTTGGTTTCTTTTTCCACCGAAACATCTGGATTCTGTGACCGACATCTCATCCTGGCATGCGTTTGTGGAGGCTCAACCTCAGGTCAGCAGCCCCAGCCTGTGTCCAGACCAGCGTGACTGGGATCGGGGACAGCCGGTAGGTCTCCGACTGACCCTCTGATTGGTGGATTCTTCGTGGACATTTTTCCCACGGGGATAATAATTCCGTTGTTTGGATTAGTCCCGGATAATAACAGGTGAGAAACACTTACCCCTACCTGTTGATTTAGGTATTGTCTGTCTGTTCCTGTGATTTTTTTTTTCCGAATATTTTTGTTGTCATATTTAGTGACGATGACGGAGGCACAGGATTGTTTCTTTACTTTGATTTCCAGGTTGTGGACCACAATAAGAGCAGTTCCGCGGCCGCCCACTGGGCCTCAGTCCACAGGTTGGTTCACCCGCCCAGGCAGAGACGGAGACGACCCCTCCTGGTCCAAAGTTAAAGAATTTTTTTTTCTTGCCTCTGTTTTGGTGACCTCGATTGTAAACTGCCGCTCTTCTGCATTTCGTCCACCAGAGGGCCCACTCCACGCACACATGAACCAGGAGCCAGGCTGAGCGCACACATGACATTTACAGGTGCTGCACATTTCAGGGTCTGATGTGTCGTTAAAAAAACCTTTGTGTAAACGTAGGAGGTAATCCCTAAAACTTGAACTTTAGGTTCCAATTTGTTTCAAAATTCTTCTTTCTTTCAAAACGAGTTCCTCCTAAAAAATATATATTCCTCAATCTTCATACTGTGGTTGGTTACTTGGTGCAGGAACTGTTTAAAACCCAAAATACTTTTCTTTTTTTTTCTTCCCACCGAGTGAATTCTTTGCAGACAATTATCTTAAAATGAATGTGTTTTTTTGTTTTGTTTTGTTTTTTTCCAACACTTCATATCCAATGCGATGTTGAAATATTCGGTCCCGGAGGGGGATTTTGGTTGTGGGTCAATGAACCATTGACTGACTCCATAGGAATCTGGATGCGGCGTGTTTCCACAGCTGTGATTAATCACTCCCCACGGCTGCGGCTCCGCGCCGCCAGATGACTGGGCAGCGGCGGAGCTGCTGAATCACAGCAACTCGCTCGGGAACGGAAAGTCGTTACAAGCAAAAGTTTTGTTTGTCTCGTATCTTGGGGTCAAGGCAGCGGGTGACGGGGGGGAGGGGGTGGGGTTGTTTTCTGTCGCTTCCTGCGAAGGGTTAACGCTAAAGACCAAAAATGTAAAATCGCATGTCCATATGGAGTGTGGGGTGCACACCAGGAGTCGGGGGTTGGGGGAAGAAGGAGTATCATTTTTATAAATCTCCTTCCATTTGTACCTAGAGAGCCTTCTGGATTTCTCTGCCTACCCTCCCCCACTCCCCCGGCCCTTCTCCTCCTCTGTCTCTCTCTCTCCCTCTCACTCTGATGTCATTGTTTCCTGCCCACAGACTGCTGATACACGGCTGGGGCTGCGTGCTGACCTACTGTACATGGACGCTAGTGCGCTCACGCTAACCGCTAGAGGATTAATAAAAGTGATGTCCCCCACATTAAAACCCACTCTGCCGGGTCTAAGGAGTACATTTGACAGGACAGTACTGTGGAAAACTTTTAGATGCGTACTTACTGTAACCCCATCCTCTCACCCCCTTCACTCCCCCTCCCGCCCCCCTCCACACTCTGAACTTTTTGTATCATTTTTGGGCAAATTCTAAGTTTTTTCAAAAGTTTATTTTTACCTGAATGTTTCTCATCAAATGAGGGCATATAGGGAAAGTTTTTTTTTTTGTTAAAGTGTTTGTCAAATTTGGAGCTGTGTGTCATTTAGGGTCAAATTCTAATAAATACATTTTTTTGTTTATTCCTAATCCTAATCCTAAACCTAACTTTAACCCTAACACTAAATATAACCCTAACCTCAACTCAAATTTATTTTATTAAAATTTTCTGTCAAAATGTATACTGTTTTTTCTTTGCTGGTCAAATTCTAATAAATTTTGACAAAAAAATTAATACAATATTTTTTAAAAACTTTATCCTTTGCTATGTTTCTCATAAAATTAGGGCTTTTAGAGAACTTTTTTCAAATTTATTTTAAAAAAATGTTTTATTAAAATGTATACTTTTTGGGCAAATTTTAATAAATTTTGGCGAACATCTTAGTAAAATTATTTTTCAAAATGTTATGTTTTTGTGCATGTTCCTAATGAAATTATGGCATTTAGAGAACATTTTTTCAAATTTTCTAGGTGACCATTCGGTCTTTGGAAAATATTCTTTCAATCAGACAAAAAATTTGGATTTTGAAAAATTCCCCAAAAAAATATTTTTCCAAAAACGTTTTCAAAACGATATATTTTGATGAGAAACATGCAGAAAACATAAAAATTTGAAAAGAGTTTATAAAAAAATTTCAACATCAGACCAAAAATTTGGATTTTGTCGAAAAATTCCCCCAAAAAAATCGTTTTTCCAAAAAAAAATTTAAAACGCTATATTTTGATGAGAAACATGCAGAAATCATAAAATTTTGAAAAATAATCTTTCAAAGATTTTCATCAAAACTTTTCAACATCAGACAAAAAATTTGGATTTTGAAAAATAAATTCTTATGCGTTTAGTTTAGACTTTTTTGCGAAGTATGTTAGGAAGAAGAGAAAAATAAGTTTTTTTTTATTTTATTTTCGTAACTCCTTTATTTTCATCACCAAGAATGTTCTCTGTTTTTGTTCCCAACCAAACAATCTCCCCTCCAATCCATCCAATCTCCCCTCTTTCTCCTACTCCCCCACCTCTTTCACCTTGTGGAATTCCGCCTCTCTGTCCCAGGAGTTACTCCTCGTTTTCTGCGTGCAGGGGTGAAGAACCTCTAGGCTGAGGAATTTGAGAGGAACTACAGA